AGAATCAGATATTGTGGTCGACTGCACACATTTGATAACCGATGCTGGTGCAGGAAAAAACAGGAAACAGGAAAAACAGAAGAGCTACTCTTCCTCAGGTGACTGAGAATGTCAGTGCAGGACGTGATCAGACTGTCACTGCAGACCAATACAAAGTTGTTTTGAATGATCACCTTTATCCTGTAATGAAACATCTCCATCCTGATGGGCGTGGTCTCTTCCAGGATGACAAGGCCCCCATCCATAGGGCACTGACTGGTTTGATGAGAATGTAAATGAACTATATGCTACAGCCTTCGCCGTCTCCAGATCTCAACCCAACTGGACACCTATGGGAGATTTTGGACCGACGTGTTAAACAGCTCTCTCCACTACCATTATTATGATGTTCATCCCTCAGTAGATTTCCAGAGCCTCGTATAATCAATGCCACGGCGCACTGAAGTTGTTCTGGCAGCACACCTCACTAACACACTTGTATTTTCTTTTGTCACCCATCTGTATGTCGGCTGATAGGAAACAACAAATTGCCATAAAGAAATATCAACAGTATCTTTTAAAGTAACCCACCAGTACGAGTTTGCTCACCAGAATTAGCTTGTTTGTGTTTATGTGACAAATAAAGATAATTAATATCAACATAATATGTTGTTATCTAATTATTGTTACTGTTGTAAATGTTATCAAAACAACAGTATCACAAGTAATAAGGGGGGCGTCATTTTATTTCACTACCATCATCATTATTATTTATTTATTTTATTGTTTTTATTTATTTAGACAGTTCTGTCATTTTATTTTGATACCACTGATGCGCCTATTACTTGGTTTCCTAATAACTGTAAGCACTGAGCACTTAGTGACATATCTACTCAATAAACAAGTTGTAAACAACAGTAAACAACAGTAACGCTCAGGCTGGTACTCAAGTATATAAACACAGACTATGGCTGAATGAAACACATTTTTCAAAGTAGTTCAGGGATGTGGAGAAAATAATTAGATAAAAGGGTAGAAAGCGGGTTGGGGCAAAATAGCAACCACATAAACAAACATAAACATACACAGTGTCATATAGTAACTGCTGCACGTTAAGAGCACCCAAACAATTAGCATCAATGCAAGACAACTCACACATGTGTAGCCTAAATGCCAAAAGACACCTGCATCTCATACACTGCAGCAAATAAAAGCGGTGGGGTCAGGGGGGGGGGTCAGCAGGTTAGTCCCAGTCACACTCCGGTTAAATCCACTCGTCCATGCGGTAATTAGTGGTGCTGGCAGCGGGCAGAGACAGGAGCCATGTTAAGCTGCACGGTAACTTTAAGTAATGCGCAGGTGACTGCAGGAATAACGCACACAGCAGCGGGACTGGTGAGGTAGGCTACTTACTTTATGAAGAAACTGGCCCCTTCGTCTGTAAAGCCTTCCTCCCACCCCCGAGGTAGGTCTGAAAGAAAATACAAAAAACAACATACTTGTTCGTGACACCTGAAAGTTTTCTCCCCCCTCGGGCTGGGCCCAGTGTGCACACTGAAGTTGGAGGCGAAGAGGAGCGCAGTGGAGTAAACATAAGGACAACATAAACCCAGGTCCAATAACAACAACAATGTATAACACAGCTAGCTACCTGAGCGGATCATGTGTCCGGAGTTTACGGGTTCACCGGAGCGGGGATGGAGCCAGGTAGTAGCCTGCGTCTGGTCGCTGCCGCACAGAGAGGGAGAGAGAGAGAGGAGAGAGAGGGGAGAAAAACACCTGTTACACCACACGGGAAGGAAACACCAACAGACCCCGCCAACTCCCGTTAAACCGGGAAACACGGTGCGATAAAGCGCTCATTATCTCACTCACTTGATGAAGAAGACCCTGCCGTCCCCGCAGACACCGTAAGACCAGTGTTCAGGTAAGGTGTCCCGCCCGAGAGGCGCCGCCATGATCCGGTCTGAAGTCCTATTTCATCTCATTCCCTCTCCATGGAGTCTCCCGGGAACTCAATGATCACCGCCAGGGCCAGCGCTGCCTTCAGGGACTCCTCTGAAGCACGTACATCCGAGCACCACAAACTGAACACACAGGAGACTGAGCTGATCAAAATATGACTCTGTTATATGCACAGCCACAGCTATCGTAGCTAGAAGGGTTTATATTTACAATTTTATATTACACATGCATTTTTTATTATATTTTATCATTTTTAGTCATAAAAAATAAAAATATATTTTCTATCAGAATTACACAGGCTCCCTAGTACAAGAGTATAATGTTGCAAGATAATATTTACATATATTTATTTTTAATACTTTCATATTTTAATACTTTAATATTTTTCCAGTTTGGTTATGACTTCTCAGTCATTCCTTGCAGAGATCAGGTTCTGCTTGGAGAATTTAGACTTCAGTATTTTTTAAATCCTGGCAAAAGCCCTACTTATCTGAGGCAAACTTGAATAAGAAGCAATCACATTTGGCAATGCTGGTGCACTGTTGGCCATGTAGCTGTAACTTCCGCAGTTCAAGTCCAGCCAAGGATCTTTGTTCAAGTCATCCCAGCTCTTCACTATCCAGTTAATAATAATTTAAACAACTGACAAATCAGGTTATATCAGCTCTTATACAGCACACATCCATTGGTCCTTGTATGGAGTGCAACACAAGGAAATATTTATGCCTACTTGGCAGTGTCTTGTTATACCATTATGTCAATACAAAGAGTGCCCTAAAGCTAAATTTAATTTAAATTTAAATTTAGTCGAGAACTTTCCTGATATTTAATCAGTTAAAGTAAGTGTCTTTGTACATGGAGCAGTAATTTGTTAATATGCTCATATTTACCACCAAACCTTCACAAATTGGTCGGAAACTGCAGCTCAGGTGGAAGAGTAACTTGGCCATCAATAGGGTTGGTAGTTCGACTCCCCACTCTCTTTATGTGCTCACACTGAAAGGCACTGAAACCCAATTGTTTCAGAAATGTGTAAACATGGGACATGTGTAACATTTCTTTGGATAACATCATCTGCCAAGTCATCACAATAAATTATTAAAATCAAACTAGTTAGATAATAGAAAACTTTTTCTTTGGTCATCTGATGTCAAATGTTTTTCATGGTGCAATTTGCTTGCTCTGTTGTCACTTGAGTAGACATACAAAAAATTTTGGCATTTTCAGTATTTTAAATAAAGTTTAAATTTGTTTTTACACACCGTTACATTATAGTAAAATCCACTACCTTATCATCACATCTCTGCAACTGGAGACTCCCAGCTGTCACACAGGCTTTGTAAATGTGAGTCTGCCATATTTACGACATTTCCGTCAGTACTTAAAGGCATCACAAAGCCGGCTTCTACAGTGAGAGGAGGAGTAGAGGAGCTGCTCTGGCGGCAGTTATTGGAAAGAGTGAATGAACGATGTGCTAAATGGGGGCTCTTCAAAGTGTGTGCCACCTTAGTATTTAGGTGATTTAACTGGGAAGGGGCTGATTGTGAGACTAAATACTTATTTTAACCAATTAGGAATCTCTTTAAGAAAGGCTTTGATTTTAATTATCCTACAAACACGGTAATTCTCATCCAAATCGGCCTGCATCGTGTTGGGCACTTTAATTAATTGCATTAGTAGCTAGCCCATGCATGTGTGTGTATATCTCATTTTATATATATATA